AACAACGCTTTATGAGTGTCAAGACTGGCTTCATTTTCTTCCAAAGGATATAAGATGAGAGTTTCAGGCATGGGGGGTATGGCATATTGAAACGGCAAAATTCCTGGCCACGCAGCTCTCTTAAGCACGATGAACTATGCTTATGGCGCTGATATTGAATTACTTCTTGCAATTCAGGATCGTTTCCGTTGGTAGTAATAAACCTATCAATAAAACGTATTAATTCATCAGAATTTTCCGCTCCTTCTAGGTTTGGTGCTCCAGAAAGCCAGTACATTCCATGAGAGTGTGGAGAGCCTCGGTGCTGGAACTCGATCCTCCAATAATAGTGGGTTAGAGTATACTCCCCAAATATTTCGGAGCTTTTAAATAATTTTAATAATTGACGGAACCTGTGGTCAAAGTAACGGGAACAAGTTACTGGGTCAGATCGGATCTGTCGAGCTTTTTCGGTACTGGATAATGATGCAGCTTCCTCCTCATTTATGTTTTTGTTATCTAACAAAAGAGAAAGAATAATCAAAAGTTCATTCCATTTTGTTTCAGCAGCAGAAAGGGTGATAAAAAATGTAGGCAAACCAAATTGTCTTATCATTGCTATGACCTTTTTTTTTCTGCTTCCCAATGTGCAGGAGCTGAACGTAAACCTTTTAAAATATGGTACCCGTCGTCATGCTGCACTAGTCTGTCAATAAAAGATTCATCCCTTACGTTTGCAGCAGTTACCGCACCTGATTTTTTTCGTAAGGCAATGGAAATTGAGTTTTGAATTCGCTGCATCTCATAAAATTTGTACATATAAAGAACTTTAGGTACAACTGCACAGCGACGATCGTAAAATCGAATTTGAGACCTGGCTTTTTTTGCGTAGGTGGTATTGGCCTTAAAAATTTCACCACAAGATTTTATTGGAAATGAAAGCTCTTCAGCGTCGTCATCTAGGGTTAAATTTGTCGGACGACGGCCTTCCCCGGGAGCCAAAGCAATACGCTGAAAATCATTCCCGTTATTATTTTCTAATAGCGTTTCGTGACCTCCAGGATTTAAGTTTTCATCCTGTTGGTCATTTGGTTGAGAATGTTGAAGGCGCAAAAGCTGTTCAACTTCTTCTCGGTCAAATTCATCTGCGATGAATGGTACTTCTTCGCTATCTCTCATTTCATTTAGCCAATCACCAATTAATGAGATATTGTGCTTTCTATACAGCTCTGTGTTTACTAAATATCGCACTGCTTCAAGAACTCTCGACGGACGAATGGTTTCAGTCATGAAATTATGGGAGTATTCTAACTTTCTCTTTAAGTGTACTTGGATAACATGTGTAGAATCAAAAGAGCGGGGAAGCGCACTTACTGTATCAGGTACAGAAATTGGGACATTAACTACAGCGCCTCTTATTCCGCATTGCCTTTCATACCCTAAGGATATAATGCGCATAAAGGGAATTCGGGGAGAAATGAGGCGCTCTTCAAGACATGTTAAATTTTTGAGACACTCGGGAATCTCTGGAAAATCAAAACCATTACCAAGACACAGAGATGGTATTCTACCTTTGGAAACGGCCTGGCGACATGTGCTGCAAAATTTGTATTTGCCGGACGGACTGGGAAATTTACTACCTCAGGGAAAGAAGTATATGTGCACTTTTTAATTTGCTTGTATTTTCTCTAAAGTAAACGGTACAGTTTTTGTAAGTACGCAGTTTTGTATTCTTATCTTTTATGAACATATCCTAATAAAAACGGTCCTCTTTGGACTTCATTCGTTGTACCCTTTCTAAGGACATGTGCTGAAATTTGTTATTTTAATAGGAAATAAGTATATGTGCATATTGAGATTATTCTGTTATTGATAGCGAGTAAGCTAAGAAGTGTGACCTAAAAATATTTTTTAGTCAGCGGAACGTAAGTAAAATATATTTTTTATCTTTGTATAATAAAATAATTAATATTTAGTTTGATTATACGGTAAAATGCCACGTGGTTTACATTTGTCAGAGGAAGATCGCGGCATGATCAAAGGACTGGCTGAATCTGGCCAGACCATTTCTTATATGGCTGCCAGATTAAATAGGCACAGGAATACAATTAGTAACTTCCTTAAAAATCCAGAAAGTTATGGAAAAATAAAGCGAAGAGGCAGGTCCACTGAAATCGACGAGCGGCGCAAGAGACAAATTCGGCGTCTAGCAGTTCAAGACAACAAGTCTTGCATGGAGATAAAAGGTCAACTGAATCTTGAAGTATCCAAAAGACGTATAAACCAAATTTTAAACCAAAACAAAATGGTTACATATGGTTCACGCGACCCTGTACCAAGGCTATTAAAGCGCCACATAACCACTCGTATACAATTTGCTGAGAAATACAAATTTTGGCCGAAGGAGTTTAAAAAAGTTATATTTTCGGACGAAAAAGTTTAACTTAGTCGGCCCTGACTCCTGTCAAGAGTACTGGCGCGACAAAAGGCAACCACGGCAGGTCTGCCATAAACGAAACCACGGTGGAGGATCATTAATGGTTTGGGCCGGATTTGGGTATGCTGGGAAGTCTCCACTTTATTTTATACCGACTATAACAAATGCAGAAATTTATATAGAGTTACTAGAAACAGTGCTCATTGAATTTGCTGGAGACATTTATGGGGATGAGTGGATATTCCAGCAAGACAACGCGCCAATCCACACAGCTCGCAAAACAAAAGAGTTTCTGGCAGCTAGAAAAATACCGCTATTGCAATGGCCAGCGATCAGCCCGGACCTAAACCCAATAGAAGATCTTTGGGGAATTCTTTCTAATAAAGTTTACAAGAATGGTAGCCAGTTCGACACAGTTAATGACCTTAAAAAGGCTTTGATCAAGGCATGGGATCAAATTAATCCGACAACTCTGAAAAACTTAGCAAATTCAATGCCCAATCGGATTAATCAAATTTTTATTAAGAAAGGAAGTCATATAAATTATTAGGAAGTGTACTTAAAATTGTTCAAAAATTTTCCAACATGTATTTCGAATTTTCGGTCAGTATGCACATTTACTTATTTCATATGAAATTAAAATTCTTTATTTAATTTAAAGTTAATCAAAACGTTTACGAAAACTATATTGTTATTTTTTTGTTAATATGTATTCCAGCAATATAAATAAATTTAATCAAAAACCTAATATAATTATTTTATGGTTTTTTTTTTAAATAATTTCAATGCACATATACTTCTTTCCCTGAGGTACTTAAATAAAATGCGTTGCCTACATTCATATCTGGGAACTTAGAAGATATAATAAATTTGTTCAAACTACTCACCTGAGATGTAAACCATGTCCCTCTACAGCATATGCAGCATTCAGTTGGTCCGTATTTTATGTTTTGCAGATACTGCTCCTTTGCTGCCGCTCGGCTCCTTCGGCGTTGTTGTTCCCGTTGATCCTCTCTTTCGTCTGCGGAAAGTCCAGCTCTAGCATCCATATTTCGCTGCGACTGTCGTGAAGATTCAGCCTGCCGATTTTGTGAGCTGGTCCTATACGTCAAGAGTCGTTCCTCAGCCATTTCTCGAATCCGTTGCTCCCGAAGCCTCCTCTGCAGTCGTGTTTCCCGTTGCTGCAATGTCCTGTAATTTAGCTGATGTTCCCGAGTAATGGGGTCGTTCCTGGCAATTCTGTGAGCTTCCGCATCCCGCTCTCGCTCCTGTCCTCGGTTTTCCTCTATCGCTCTCCAGGTAGCGTGATCGGCAGTGTTTCGCAACTGCTCTCGTCGCCGTTCCTCGGAGTTCGCTCGGGTCCGCGCACGCGCTGCAGCATCCCGTGTACGCTCGGGTCCTCGGTTTTCCTCTGCTAGTCTCCAGGTAGCATGATCGGCAGTGTTTCGCAACTGCTCTCGTCGCCGTTCCTCGGAGTTCGCTCGGGTCCGCGCGCGCGCTGCAGCCATGGTACAATTATATATATATATTATATATATATATATACTAGCAGACCCGGCTACGCGTTGCTGTAGCTAAAGTTATTGTAATATTATATTGAAGTATACAATTAAAGAAGAACTGTAGGTAAGGCAGATAGTCTTAAGTCTCTAACAGTAATATTTATTATTTTAAACTATATATACTTTCAATTTCAATTTAATTTAGTACTAATTGGTGCACAATATTTTTGGTTAACCTGTCTTTTGCTAACACAAATAGATTTGACGGTTTTCCAACACGTGAACATTCAACATATAATTGTCCATGAGAAAAGCATGGACTTTCTAAATCCAAACCACAAATGGACATTGTTTGGCCTTGAGACTTATTTATCGTCATGGCAAAAGCTAAACGAATTGGAAACTGTAGCCGTTTGAAAGGTATTGTAGAATTCGACGGTATTATTGGAATACGTGGCAACAGTACCACTTTTCCTTTAAACTTCCCAGCTAAAATGGTTGCTTCGAGAATATTTCCGGTGATCTTTTTGATGATTAAACGTGTACCGTTGCATAATTGAGGTGGATTCAAATTACGTAGCAGAATAATCGGGGAACCAATCTTCAATTGAAGATTGTGGGGTGGCATTCCAAGTAGATCTAATGAATTTAAAAACTCAGTTGTAAAATTTACACTTTCATCTTCATTAACAACAGTATCGATTGATTTAAAAGACATCAGATCGCCTGGTATGAACTGTTGTATCTGTAAGTTAATTTCGTCTACATCAACATTTTTGGCTGTCAAAATCGCCCGATGACTGAGCCAGTAATTTTTGAATGCGCAGAGTAGTTAATATCTGGTGCATATTCAAAAGCAAGACGAACGAATGATGTACAGTGGCGGACTAAAGTCTACATACGACCCCCTTTTTCGTATTTTTCCCACTCCTATAGATTTTAAAAGAAAAGTAATGATGCAGTCTTGTTTTAACTGTTATTATAATACAAAAACCAAAATTTCATTTTTATTTAACATAAACTTTCAAAGTTAAAAGCGAAAAACTAAAAAAAGGCACTGACAAAAGTGAACATACGATTCGTTGGTTAGCTCTTCTATGATTTAATACTAATATATATACTACATTTAATATTTTGTTGGTCCACCATTGGCATCAATGACTGCTTGTAGTCGTCTGGGCATAGAAGCAACTAAATTTTCCAGCTCTTCTTTTGTGATTTTATTCCATTCCTCTTGGAGCCTGTCTCTTAACATAGGAGCACTCTTTATCTCGTGTTTTCGAATTTTTCGCTCCAAGATTTCCCAAACGTGCTCTATAACATTCAAGTCCGGGCTTTGTGGTGGGGAATACAATTGCCGGGGAGCATAATACAGCAGCCAATCCTGTACAATCTTCGCCGTGTGCTTAGGATCATTATCCTGTTGAAAGATCCAGCTGCTATCACTGCATCATTACTTTTCTTTTAAAATCTATAGGAGTGGGAAAAATACGAAAAAGGGGGTCGTATGTAGACTTTAGTCCGCCACTGTACGTACTAATGAGCGGCTGATCCGTTGCCTTTGTCGTTCTTGTGCTCGTACTGTATCTATGTTTCGTTCTCGTGCCGCTCTTGTTCTCGTAATATTCTGTTGCAGGCGTTCGCTACGCTGTTCTTGAGATTCTTGTGCACGACCTTCCGCTGTCCTAATTCTTTGAGCTGTATTTCTTGTATCGACTTGTTCTGGCAACTGATGAGCTCTTTCAACACGTTTGCGTCGTGCCTCTCTGCTGCTCACGTTGTTGAGATTAGATTTTTTCGGCGGCATTTTGATTTACTATTATAATTATTATGTGGCAATACCTGTATGTGTATTTTTTATATCTACAGAATTTTGAATAATGAAGCACAGATAACTAAAAAGCAGGAATGATTTCACTGTATGACAATAATTCGTCACTATAATTTGAATTTGATTTACACTTCGGTCTACGTACGTGGTTGGCTATGCTAACACCAAAAATTAAAAAAGTAGAAATATTAGAATTTCACGCTATTTCGTTTACTACAAAATAAATTTAATTTATACCTTAACCTCAATAACACGTGGTAATCAGGCTATTGTCGGTTTAGCATAGCAGCAAATTTGCCAATATTTCGTAGACAAAACGTGGTGTTGCTCTTGCTTATTTTTTATAGCATACTTTTGCGGGCAATTTGAAAATATTAAAAAAAAGTAACCACTTACTATTGCATTCTGTTCGCCTGGTACTTCAAAATGAGGTTTGGTTGAATATGTTGGTATTGGCGGAACGAATTCGAAGGGACAAATTGGAAAATCCACTTTTAGGTACCAGGCGAACATAATCCATTATAGACAAATAATTAGCAATAAAATAAAATTGCGACTATAATTAAAGATCTAAAATATCCTATCTCTCAAGTTGGACCAGACTGCTCATGGTATGCCAATTTAATTTAACATCGGTTAAGTAGTTTAGGAGTCCATCGCGGACAAACATCGTGACAGGAGATTTATATATATAAGATATTATATATAATTGTACCATGGCTGCAGCATCCCGTGTACGCTCGGGTCCTCGGTTTTCCTCTGCTAGTCTCCAGGTAGCATGATCGGCAGTGTTTCGCAACTGCTCTCGTCGACGGTTTTCGGAGATAGCTCGGGTTCGTGCCCGCGCTGCAGCGTCCCGTTCGCGTTCGGGCTCACGATTTTCCTCTATAGTCCTGCGAGCTGCATGGCTGGCAGTATTTAGGGCCTGCTGCCGTCGTCGTTCTTCAAAATTTTCCCTGGTATTTGCGTAAGCTGCGGCGTCCCGTACACGTTCAATAGCTCGAATTCGTGCACTACGCCTTCTCAGAGCGAGGGCAGCAGTTTCTCGTGCTCGAATTTCTGCTACCACATCGATATTCGTAGAGCGAGTCAAGGCAATATGCTGGGCATTTCTGGTCCTTATCTGAGACGAATTTTGTGCATATCGAGCTCGGCTACGAGCAAGCGCAGCTTGCCTACGCTGTTCTTGCGACAAAGAAGATTTACGTGGCATTCTCTGGAATTGGCTGTTAAAAAAAAAATTGGAAGAAAAAATACATAGCGAATGTTTGATTAGACCACATTAATAAAAGTGGTATTAATGAATGGGTTATGGCTAAGTCCTAGTAGAATTAACATCCACTTCAAACTGTATACAAACGAATGACTTACCAAATCAAATATTTCCAAGATTTGTTTTGTTGTTTTAACCACTTCAACTTTTCACTTCTACACAAACGTTTAAAAAAAACTCGCACTGTAAAAAATACTGCACCACTTGTATAAGTTGTAACTCGGCAACTGTCAATCACAGACTAATCCGCAGCTTAGGCGTACGCGTCAATAAATACTCGTAAGTTGGTGATTTACCTGTTAATTTGGTTATCCTTTTCTTTTTCCATACCTACAGGTAGTGCTCGTGTCGATGATGCAATTTTACGACATTTGGTAACCCTTTTTAGAAGGGTCTTAGGTAAATTAGGTCGCTTGTGCACTGTAATAAATGTGCAGGTGTGCGCACCTGATACCTATTGTTAATATTGCGTACTTTTAAGAAAAATTAAAAATAACCAGGTATATAATTTCTACAAAATACCTTCTAAATATAAGGAGTTTTTCAAGAGGAAGATGCGATCCGTTTTTGAAATAAACATCAATAACTTAGGCAGGTCCACCAATAATTGTATAATGCGATAATTCAGATTATTTCTATATTTTGATCATTCTTGTTATCTTATATATATAAATCTCCTGTCACGATGTTTGTCCGCGATGGACTCCTAAACTACTTAACCGATGTTAAATTAAATTGGCATACCATGAGCAGTCTGGTCCAACTTGAGAGATAGGATAGCTTAGATCTTTAATTATAGTCGCAATTTTATTTTATTGCTAATTATTTGTCTATAATGGATTATGTTCGCCTGGTACCTAAAAGTGGATTTTCCAATTTGTCCCTTCGAATTCGTTCCGCCAATACCAACATATTCAACCAAACCTCATTTTGAAGTACCAGGCGAACAGAATGCAATAGTAAGTGGTTACTTTTTTTTAATATTTTCAAATTGCCCGCAAAAGTATGCTATAAAAAATAAGCAAGAGCAACACCACGTTTTGTCTACGAAATATTGGCAAATTTGCTGCTATGCTAAACCGACAATAGCCTGATTACCACGTGTTATTGAGGTTAAGGTATAAATTAAATTTATTTTGTAGTAAACGAAATAGCGTGAAATTCTAATATTTCTACTTTTTTAATTTTTGGTGTTAGCATAGCCAACCACGTACGTAGACCGAAGTGTAAATCAAATTCAAATTGTAGTGACGAATTATTGTCATACAGTGAAATCATTCCTGCTTTTTAGTTATCTGTGCTTCATTATTCAAAATTCTGTAGATATAAAAAATACACATACAGGTATTGTCACATAATAATTATAATAGTAAATTAAAATGCCGCCGAAAAAATCTAATCTCAACAACGTGAGCAGCAGAGAGGCACGACGCAAACGTGTTGAAAGAGCTCATCAGTTGCCAGAACAAGTCGATACAAGAAATACAGCTCAAAGAATTAGGACAGCGGAAGGTCGTGCACAAGAATCTCAAGAACAGCGTAGCGAACGCCTGCAACAGAATATTACGAGAACAAGAGCGGCACGAGAACGAAACATAGATACAGTACGAGCACAAGAACGACAAAGACAACGGATCAGCCGCTCATTAGTACGTACATCATTCGTTCGTCTTGCTTTTGAATATGCACCAGATATTAACTACTCTGCGCATTCAAAAATTGCTATTGGTGGAATGGATAAAGTATGTCAATATTGTCAGGCGTTGAAATTTCGAAATGAAACTACCGGTATGTGCTGTGCAGCAGGAAAAGTCGTGCTGCCACCTCTACCCTCTCCGCCAGAACCTTTATTATCCCTTCTTGCTGGGAATTCAAGTGATTCAAAATTGTTTTTGCGTAAAATACGCAAATTTAATACTTGCTTCCAAATGACATCATTTGGGGCAACTAAAATTTGTGATCTTGCATCCGATGGACGTAATTTTGAAACTACATTTAAAATACAAGGCCAGGTGTACCACAAAATTGGATCATTGATGCCAATGCCTGATGATAATCCGAAATTTCTTCAAATTTATTTTATGGGCAATTGTCAAGAGCGCGCAACGACTCGGTGCCAGTATAATTTCATTGTACAAGCAAAGGAAGAAGCAATTGTGATATTACTGGAAAATTTTTTAGAAGATCAAAATCAACTACTTCAATTAATCAAAAGAGTTTCGCCACGATTGCAAGATGACAACTACCAAATCGTTATAAAAGCCGATAAAGTACCATTAGGTGAACATGCTGGAAGATTCAACGCTCCAACTATTGATGAGGTTGCTGTCATCATGGTTGGTGATCCAATTGACAAAAGATCCATAAAAATTACTCGGAGAGACAACACTATCAGTACGATTTCAGATCTACACCGTTCATATGATGCACTACAATATCCATTGATATTTTGGCAAGGACAGGATGAATATCACCATAACATCAAACAGTTTGATCCTAATACCGGTAAATTTGACAATTACTTTTTATTTTCTTAATGTATGTATAAATGTTAATTTCGTATTGCATTTTATTTTTTTAGGTGATTATGGAAATAAAAAAGTAAGCTCAATGAACTATTAAGCACACCGAATAATGATTAGACTAAATCAAGACAACTGTATCCTTCGATATCGTCAGCTATTCCATCAATACATTGTTGATATGTATGCTAAGGTTGAAAGCGAACGCTTGCGATTCATTCGATTCAACCAGGCTAAATTACGATCAGAAGAATATATTCACTTACGAGATGCTGTTGCTGGAAATATAGACGGAAATTTAAATCCTAATGACATCGGTAATGCTTTTATTTTACCTTCAAGCTACATTGGCAGTCCACGAAACATGCAGGAATACATACAAGACGCGATGACTTACGTACGTCATTACGGCCGACCGGATTTGTTTATTACATTTACATGTAACCCGAATTGGGAAGAGATACAAACTTTATTATTATCAGGACAACAAGCAGTTGATCGTCATGATATAACTGCTCGCGTGTTTAAACAAAAATTGAAATCCTTAATTGATTTTATTGTTAAATATTCAATTTTCAAACAAATATTCACTTGAAGCATTACAAAGAACTATGCAGGATTTAAACAGCAATAATAAACTTTTCGTTGGTACTATAATACTTTTGTCTGGTGATTTCCGTCAAACCTTGCCGGTTATACCTTAAGACTATCTGCCTTACCTACAGTTCTTCTTTAATTGTATACTTCAATATAATATTACAATAATTTTAGCTACAGCAACGCGTAGCCGGGTCTGCTAGTACTATTATATATTAAGAAGTCCTCAGATTTTAAATTACCATTGTTGATTATACAAAAACCGTCATAGCTTCGATGCTGTTAGCCTTTATATATTTTGATCGACATATTTGATGTCTGCAAGGGTATATAAGCTTCGGCTTGCCGAAGCTAGCTTCCTTTCTTGTTTTAAGGTAACAAAGTTTTTCGTGGTTCCGAAAAGTTTCTTTCACGTGATTCCAAGTGTTGAACGGCTTGTTTATGCCCTGCAGTACTGCGCGCTGGTTCGTAGCTGGTGAAATAAGCGCTTACCAGCAGACCACCCCTACTTACCCATCGGGCCCAAGCAATGCGATCTTTCATTTCCGTTTTTGTATGAAATGTCCGCAAATAGGGTCAATCGCCACCGTGTCGTATACCCAGGAACTAGTGAAATAGTGCCCCATATTAAGGGAAGTAATGTAAGTACTTACATGGGACCCCATGGAATGGTCTGTAATGTAAGTACTTACATGGGACCCCATAGAATGGTCGGTAATGTAAGTACCCATTATTAATTTAACCCTCTACTGCATGAGCATAGAAATAATAAGGGAACAAATTTTTTGAATGTAATTATGTGTTTATTAAGGCCAAAATAATATATTTTTGGACTTTTTTTTGTGGGGGGTGGCATAGTTTGGGGTGGGGTATATGGGGCCATATATGGCTTTGTATGCATTCAGCTTATTCCATAGTTTGCCATATATGACTCTGTATGCATGTATACATTACTTCATGTTCACTACGCACATATCAATCATGTGAAAATATATTTTCTTATACCATTTTCTTGAGCGCAATTGAATTCTATAAAGTCCAAGTAAAGAATCCAGTAAGTCAACGCCACCCATATAATTATTGTAAACATCAACTGCCTTAGGAGAGTTGATTTCTACATACT